TGTCCTTCGGAGTGACGCCAGCTGGGGACCTGCATCATGCCATTTTGCTGAGTAATTAGAGAGCAAACAGGAACAGGACAAGGAGGGGAGGAGACGTGCACTGCAGCACGCATGCTGGCTTGGGAACAGATCAAAATCCATGCCTGCTTCTTCCAATACACTGCCCTTTTCCTTGCCATGGTGAGACCAGGCCGGTGACGTCCCCAGCACCCTGGCAGCAAGCCAGAGGGGGCTGGGCTCCTCTGCTCAGCGGGAAGTGATGGAGCTCACCAGCTCAGCCACCCTACCAAACACATGGAGGTTATGGTAGGGAAATGGGTGCAATTCTGCAGTTTGACGAGGTTCCCAGAGCAGTTTTGCAGTTTGAGGTTCCTAGAGCCCCGAGGGAAAGCCAGACCGGCAGAACAGCTTTAAAATATTTGCTGTGTATGGGGAGATGGTATCGGCTGCTGATGCATCCCCTCGGTGGCTGAAAACACGGAGGGAAGGCAGACAGCAGGATGACGTGCCTTCTGGTCACAGCACACCCTCCAAACCCTTAAACATCTGCAAACCCACAAACATCTGCAAACCCACACTGCTGCAGGAGGAGAAACCCCAAATCCCGCTCACATTCCCTGCCAATGTGGCAGCAGACAGGAGCGGGGAAGGGGCACCATCTGGGGTGTCACCAGTGTCACTCTCCGTGGGGCAGAGGAGCACACGTGCCCCTTGCACCCTTGGTGTGTTGCTGCACGTTGCTGATGCAGTTTGTTTTCCCTTTCCAGCCGAGAGACACGCTGGCTGCCCGTGCGTCACAGCTTCCATGGATGATATCTATTTTGAGCATACCATTAGGTAAATACTCCACGCTCCAAGCGGGGCATGCGCAGGGAAGCGAAGGGTTTTTTCCTGCCTGCCAGGTGCAATGTGGATAGTGGGGCTGGAGCTGGAACAGGGAGCAGGATGCTTGGGAGAGGAGGAGATGCAGTGACAGTGCCAGGCTCACAGGGCAGCCAGGGACTGAGGCTCTCCACCGCAGAGCTGTGGACTGACTGTCTGCTCTGATTTATCTGCTGTCTGGTCGCCTGGGGAGCTCCTGCTGGGTTGGCTTCCCGGTATTTCCCCCAATGCCAGCTCCTCCCTGGCTTTGTTCAAGAAAGAACTGATTTACTGCTCTGGAAAACTCAAATCTTGCAAATCGTGCTGCTGCAGCAGCTGTGTGGGTGGCTGGGGCACAGTGGGGCTCACCCCTGCACACACATCCCCACCGGGTGCTGGGGGAGGTGAGATCTCCTGCTTATTGCTTTGTGAGATGCATCAGGCTGGGATTTGCTTTGGCAAAATCCACTCCCAGACATGTTCTTGTAGCCCTTGGGTGCTGCTCCCGTGGAGGTGTCCACCTTGACACATGCAGCCCCTGGGCTGCCACCTGGCAGGGACAACATTTCTCCTGACCTGAGGGTGTTGCAGTACAGAAGGGACATACACCCTCCTGGAGATCTGCCTTCATCCCCTGCAGGCTCCTATCAAGACCGTTCCCACCAGGCACACATTCCCAAGGTGGTCTCTTCCCTTCCAACTCCCAGTAAGCCCACCCACCCTTTACTCATCTCTCAGAGCCCTGTACAGGTAATACCCATTTGCTCACTGCTGGGCACCACCTCAAGGGCTCCCTGGATGTTTGCCATGCAGTATAGGATCCTTCCAGTACAGGGTCCATGTTGCCCAGCCACTCTCTGCTGTACAGGTCTGCCTGCTGGGGCAGGGACCATTGTGGGCATCCAGGGCTGGCACTGGGATCCCCAGATGCTGGCTGATTTGTTTAGTGCCAGGACATTCGACTCACTCCTGGGTTTCACCATCATTCCCAGGAAATGCTCTCTCACACTGGTGCTGGTACGTTGGTGTGGAAGTGCTGCCCATCTCCCCGGGGCTTGGCTCCATGCTGAAGCCACAGTGTGAGGATGTGGTGCAGCCCTGGTGTCACCTCCCACTGGCAGAGGTGGCACCACTGGGATTGATACTGTGCCCCATGGCTCCAGCTCCCAGGCCCTGCTCCACAGCATTATGTCAAGCCCTGCAAAGCATTTCTCCCTCCTCAGGGGCAAGTCGGGCACTGCTCCAAGGGGTCAAGGAATTTGTGCTGCTCCTGGCTCAGATCCCACTTGCCATGGTCCAGCTTAAAGCGCCGAGCAAGGGACCTGGCAGGGATTTCCTACAAAGCTGTTGGAAGGCAGAGGAGCTTTGTGTGCTGTTTGCTGTCAGCTCTCCTCTGTGCCTGGCTGTTTGTGCTTTTTGCTGCCACTGTGGGGAAGAGGCAGGGAGGAGCTGTAGGTGCTTGGGGACACGGAGGAGACCCGAAAACCTCACTGACTTAGAACTCCCCAGCTGGGCAGTAGGTCCCCCCCATCCTTTTGCCCTGCTACGTGGAAGTGCTGCCTCCCAGGAGAACTGCACATACCCTGAGCCAGGCTTCATGTGGCTTTTATAGCACTGGCTTGTGCTGTTTGATAGGGAGAGAGAAGATAAAGTATTTTTAGGGCTCTATGTAGACCTCTGTGGCTGCCAACGTGCCTGACCAGCCCCCTGCCCTTGCATACCCCTCGCTGCAAACCCATCCAGAGCATCTGTGTGTCTGCTTCCATCGCCTCTAACCCTCTCCCCCCATCTTGCTTTCTCTTTTCACACCAGCCAGCCGTATCCAAGCCCTGCTGGGCAGCGGGACGGGAGGAGCGGTGTCTGGTATGGACGTTTGCAGCCCTAGAGCAGCCAGCCTAACGCAGTGCTGCCGTGAGTTGGGAGCGTTAACCACACTGACGTGGCATGGCATGGTGAATGGAGGCTGCTCATGTAACCCTGCTAATGTTTTGGCATGCTACTGGGCCTGGGGACTGTGTTGGGGGACAGCTGGCACTGTCCCAGCCTTGTGCTGCCCCTGCTCCAGCCAGAGCCAACGTGCAAAGCATGTTGAGCAGCAGAGATCATTTGAAGCTAGAAATCATGTGTCGGGGGCAAGGGAAAAGCTATGGTGCCAAAGCACACACTGACTCTTCTTTGCTTCTGTTTTTGAGCCCTCTATGGAACAAACCTGCTGTGGTGGTTACAGGGTTTATTTTTCCACTGAATTTTCTAGCATTGGCCTCTTTCAGGGAATGAGGAATATTCCTGATTTAATAATGCAGTTGGTAAAGGCTGTTTGCTATCAGTGTCACTATTAAACTTCATTTGCTCATTTTATTGGTACCAGTCTGGAGTCGGTTAGGCTGAAGAGCTGAAGTTCTATATGTGTTTACTCTGAAGCCTACTGAAGGCACAGAGGAGAGCTCCTGGACTCTGTGAGCAGCAGTGTACTGCCAGCAAATGTTTCATTTAAGGGATGGTGCAAAATGCCCCGACCAGATCCTGCCTCCTGACATCTCCTGGTATCCCAAAGTGTCCATTGCTGGGAGGCCCAGGAGAGGAGGAGGAACAGGAACAGTCAAGGTGCCTGCAGCTTTGTGACTGCTGCTGAGGACCTGTGGGGAGACCCCACAGCTGCTTCCGTCGTGCAGGACAGTGGATGCAAGGCTGGAGGAGTTGTTTGCTCTGGCAGGAGTGTGCATGCCTGCATGGTGTGGGGTGCCAAATAAGCCTTGGGCACCTCTGCACCCCTGAGGTGTCCTGGCAGCACCCCAGACCAGGGGACCCATTCGTGCATGGCTGCTGAGGGCTGACATCTCACCACGGGGCCGGACAGCTGTATGCTGTCACATCTCAGGGGTGGCTGTCCCCATGTCCTGCGGAACATCTGGCACGTCCCACAGTCCCAGGAAGCCTTACCACAGCAGGTGGTGAGCCATAACACTGTGGCACCTCAGTGGGAACTGCTCAGAAGCTGTTGTCCCTGGTAATCTCATGCACTCTCTCCTCTTTCTGTTTTTCAGCGTTGGGCAAGTTGTCAACATCAAAGCCAAAGTGAACCGAGCCTTTAACTCCAGCATGGAGGTTGGTGTGTGCCACTCACCTTCACCCCCTGCCCCTGTCCCCCTTGCTGTTCACCCTTCCCCACCAGCAGCCAAATGCCAAATCCTCAAATCCTTCTGTGGTTCCCAAATTTGATCCCATGTTGATTCCCGCCAGCTGGCTCTGGTTGGGGGTGCTTGGTGGGATGTGTGTCCCCAAGTAGCAGAGCTGGTTCTCAGGGATGCTTTGTCCTCTCCCAGGTGGGTATCCAGGTGAACTATGAAGACCTGTGCAGTGGGAAGCACTACAGCATCTGCAAGGCGTACGCCACCTTCGTGGCACAGGGCCCCTCCGGCAGCAAGGTGAGCCCCCTCTGGGGCTGGGCTGAGCCTGGCTTTCTATCACCTGCTGTTGCTTTGTGGTTACCTGCACATGATAGGGTCAGTGACCCCTTGTACCATGTTTGTGGGGGATCACAGCCCTGCTCTGGGGATGGAGGGCACCTGCTCACTGCTGCCATACCTTCCTCTGCATCCAGAGGGGGCAAGGATGTACCTCACTGGCACTGCAGGATGGCTCCTTAGCATCAGTGCTTGTTCCTGCTCTGTGACACCTCCCAAGGGATCCCTCTATGAGAGCCCTTTGCCCTCGGGTCCTTCCACGAACAGTTACAACATAACCCATGAGGAACGCAGCTGGCTCTGCCGCATGTGCAGTGGGACACATGGTGCTATAGGAGCATGTGTCAGTGCCTGAAGGAGCCCTACCTCCTCCCACAGTAGGACTGTTCCCTGCCCCATCCCCTTTGCAGGTGAGGCTGAAGCCACTGACCCCACAGACGGAGGAGGAGAAGATCGAGTACAGCATTGCTGCCGAGCGCCGCCGCATGCGGCTGGTCCACAAGGACACTCTCAAGGACCTCCTCACCCGCAGCCCCTGTGAAACTGGTACCGTGTCCCATAGCCGGGATTCCAGCCCCAAAATACCCCTGATGCCTACCAGTGACATCCCTCTTCCTGTGTGGGATGCTGAGAGGGAAGAGTGGTGATCACCACACAGAGGTTTGGGAATGCCCTGGCCATGGAGGGGTAGGAATTAGCCCCACTATACCAGACCCCCAGGCCAGGAGGTGTGTGTGAGGTTGGTGCAGTGGGAGGGTGTCTGTAGGGAGAAAGGGCAGGGACTGGTGGGGTGCCAGGAGAAGGAACTCCACAGCTGTCACTGCACTGAACCCTGTTCTCTCATAGTGGCAGAGCTGGAGACACGGGATGGCAGTGGTGCGGTACCAGCGGAGAAGACACGGGTGGAGAGCGTGGAGCTGGTGCTTCCTCCACATGCCAACCATCTGGGCAACACTTTTGGTGGGCAGATCATGGCCTGGATGGAGAATGTGGCCACCATTGCAGCCAGGTGACCTGTCGAGGAGTCGGGTCTGGGGGATGGTGTGCCTGGACGCGACATACAGCCAGGGCAGTGTCTGGCTGGATCTGGCCACAGACAGGTTGTAGGGACCCTCCAAAGGGATGGGCCCTAGCACATCACCCTTAGACAATGCTATCCAGGGAGTCCCACAGGTGCAAGATGCTGGAGGACTCCAGGAAAGGGTTCATACTCACCACAGTCTGCTTACTGTCCTTTCTCCTGGCTGGCTTTGGCGGTTGAAATCCAGGGGTGACATTTTTTGGGGTCTCCTAGGCTCTGTCTGGGCCAGGGAGGGTGCATGGGGCTGCTAGGGCATGGAGCCACAGCTGGGGAGTAACACCTGCCCCCACAGCCGGCTGTGCCATGCCCACCCCACGCTGAGGGCCATTGAGATGTTCCACTTTCGGGGACCATCGCAAGTTGGGGACCGCCTGGTGCTCAAAGCTATTGTCAACAATGCCTTCAAAAACAGGTGGGTGCCAGCAGCAGGGGGTCCCCATTCCATCCTCCTAGTGGTTCTCCACACCCTCATTCCTTCTTCTCTGGCAGCATGGAAGTGGGGGTCAGCGCCGAGGCGTATGGCCAGGAGATGTCTGTCAGCCGAAGGCACATCAACAGCGCCTTCATGACCTTCGTGGTGCTGGACCAGGAGGGCAGGCCCTGCACCCTGCCCATGGTGGCACCTGAGCCAGGGGTAAGGATGGGCAGGGCTGGCTTCTCCCTGCTGCAGTGGCATGGGACCCTCGGGAATCCCACTCAGCCCTGAAGGGCTCTCGGATTCACAGCAAAACAAATGCAGTTTTATGATGATGGAAATGAAATTGCTCCGTAGCAAGTGAATTAAATTGATTGCTCGGTATAACTAATAAAATAAACCACTTGCCTGTGCAGAGATGGAGATGTATTAGCAATGCAAGGCTTAACAGAGTATTGCCTGCAAATTCCAGCTCATCTTTTCTATAATTTGGGGGAAGGCATGCGAACCTCTGAGGTTGTTTTTCACCTTTCAAAGCATCCTAATCCATAATTTGCTCAGATCCAAATATTTAAGGAAATCTGTCACGCGAGCACAGCAGCAAAGCAAACAGCTGTGCATCTCAGCTTCCCCTGGGCTGATCCTTGCCCACCTGCCTGATATTTTTATGCTTTAAAACCAGGATCTCCCACCCTGAAGGAGATCATCTCATAGCCAGAGTTGAGCTCCCTCTCCCCTTGCTTTAAAACACTGTGCTAGCACTTTCTTCAAATAAGCCGCTTTTTGAGTGGTTTATTTCCCCAGGAGAGGACATTTGCAGGTGCAAGGGGACACTATTTGTGTTTCAGGGGCTGTTTGCAGCTCTGCAGCCACAACAAGGGTTTTCCATAATGTGCTAGTGCCTGTGGATTGATCACAATGTGGCAGCAATGCCAAAATAGCTCATGGTTAATCACTAACCACAACTGCAGCACAGCTGGGGCAGCAGCACAAGGGCTAAGGTTTCACCTTCCAGCCCTTCCCTGCTGAATGTTTTCCCACTCCCAAAAGTACGTGATTTTCTTTTTTCTCTCCTCTTCTCCTATTAACCTAACTGGCTTTTCCCATTTATCAGGATGGAGAAAGGAGGTACAGAGAAGCCAGTGCTAGGAAAAAAATTCGGCTGGACCGGTGAGTGGAAAAGCAAGTGCGATGTAAGGATGGAGGAGGGAGGGGCTTGGCAGTTGGGTGCAAGGACAGTCTGTGGGTGGCTTGTGTCCACCCATAAGGGAAACTCTTCCTTTCCTGCAGAAAATACGTTGTCTCCTGCAAACAGACCGAGGTGCCGCTCTCTGTGCCCTGGGACCAAAGCAACAAGGTAGGATGCTTCCCTGCAGGAGCCACTGCCTCCGGCCCCCTCTCCTGCCCCCCCTTCAGACCCTGACACGCTGCCCCTGCCCCAGGTTTATCTGAGCTACAACAACGTCTCTGCACTGAAGATGCTCATAGCCAAAGCGAACTGGGCGCTCGCCAGGGAAAAGGAAAAGGTACTAAACCCTTCCCTGTCCCCCTGAGCTGCCCCTTGCCCCCAAGGCATTGGCAACTGGTGGGCTTGGCAGTGGGGAGTGCATCCCAGCTGTGCCCTGTGCTCCCCCAGGTGCGGATGTACACACTGGAGGAGGACAAGTTCCTGTCCTTCCGCATTGAGATGTCAGTCTGCATCACAGCCAGCCGAGCCTTCTCCCTGCTCTCCAACCTGCGGCGCCGGCACGAGTGGGACAGCCACTATGTGTGAGTGCTGCAGGGCTTCCAACATCCCTAAAGCTATGGCTTGTGGTTGAGCATCCCTGTGGCCTTTTCTGGAGTGTGTGCTGCCCTGGAGCCATGATTGCTCCTAGAGACCTTTCTCTTCACGTCCCTGTCCTGGTTCCACCTGCACTGATGGCTGCACCTTGCTGCAGAAAACATCTACTTTGGGTCCCCCCAAATATTCTGGGTATAGTGGTGGGCTGTAAATGTGTAAGCTCCTGGAATTGGGGGACATGGTGGGGTTTCTGACTGATGCCTTCACACCACACAGGAGTGCTGAGCTCGTCCAGAAGGTAGATGACGACGACATGATCTACCATGTGGTGAGCCAGATGCTCAGGCACGAGGACAAGCCACAGGACTTTGTCATCCTGGCATCCAGGAGGAAACCCTGCAGCAGAGGGTAACTGTCTCTGGCCTGACCTCCTAATCCCCACCAGCTGAGCTGTGCTGGCTCACTGTGCTCTCTCCTCCCCAGGGACCCCTACGTGGTGGCCTTTCGGTCCGTGACACTGCCTACCCATCCTGCCAGAGCTGAATTCACACGTGGGGAGACACTCTGCTCTGGTTTCTGCATTTGGCCAGAGTCAGAGGAGATGAGCAAGGTGGGATGCTGTGGCCATGCCACTCACACCCCATTGGGGAAGCTCCCCTTCCACACATGCCTCTACTAACTATCTCCTGTGCCTCACAGGTGGCTTACTACAACCAGGCTACACCAGGGTACCTCAACTACATCACCACCAATGTGGCAGGACTGTCCTCTGACATCTGTGCCACCTTTGAAGCCTGTGAGAAGTTCCTG